CTTATCAGTATATAAACAACTTCATTCTTCATTCTATTTCAATAGATATTTGAAATTTCATCACATTAGTGTAACACAATTTACTGAACTGACACTGCAGTTATTTCCATTTGCAATTACAAATTAGTGATGAATGAATATATCATTCTACATGTGTGCAGAATACATCCATGAAAGAAGTCCCACAAGTAGAATCGCCTGGCCAATTTTGCTCTGTTTTGCTAACATAATGAGAGCATTTCATATATTCAATAATTAGAATCTAGACATCTGCAAACTAATCTCTCCTATGCTCGGGTTTGGCTTCACCCTCTCTTAATTCAGCAGCCTCATTCCACACACGGATCCTGCCCTTATTTAAACTCAACAAATATCCCTTGAGTGCCAGGTATTGTTCTAGGCACTGGGGACATCACAGTGAATAAAACAGACAAATCTCCCTCCTCTGAGGGAACTTTCTAGCAGAGAGTTTTCTCTATTGCCCCCTAGGAAAGGAAGACACAAAAATAGAACAACATAGAGGCGCCTGGGTGGCTCAGTAAGTTAAGCAATCTGCCTTCGGCTCAGGTCATGATCTCAGGGTCCTGGGATTTGAGCCCCGCATCAGGCTCCCTGCTCAGCCCCCTCCTTCCCACCCATGCTCTCTCTCACTATCTCTGTCTCTCTCAATAAATAAATAAAACATTAAAAAAAATACAATATAAATAAGTATATTAGAGAGTGCTAAGGAGAAAAACAATAAAACAAGGGAATGAAATAGGAAGGGCTAGAAGTGCTAAGATGGAAGAAAGACCTGAAGGCATATGGGGAGCTTTGGGAGAAGTGGGCACGTGGGTGCTGGGTTCAGCCAGAGTCAGGGGCAGCAAGCCAGACGTAGCAAATGGAGCTGGGGCATTAGGTGTAGGGCACTTAAGGAACTGAAAGAGTAATAGATTAGAGAGAGTGGAGCTGGAGCAAAGAATAGAAACCCATTTCAACAAAAGGAACACATAACAACAGAAAAGATTCTGCTTCCTTCTTGAACACAAGATTCCACGTAATCCAGGGACCAATGGACAAGGACTGGAAAGCCAAGTTATAATTCATTTAAAGTTATCAATTTCTCATTTGCATTGGCAGTAACTTTAATTGCTAGGATTATGCACAGCCTTTTATAAAAATTATATTAGCAGTAAATTTCGATTATCAAGGATTATATTATAGTTAGAGACTTGCTTTCTAAAGATTATCCCATTGCAGGCACATTGCTTATTGCCAAGCACCCATCTGTTTTCATTTTAGTACTAATTTTTTTATCCTCATACTGCTTTCCCTGAGAAGTTTTGGGGGGTGGTGTAGGAGGTAGTAGTGGTTGTTATTATCTTGATGGAAGTACAGTTTATACTACAAAAGCTGTAATTCATTTCAATTCCCCTTTTACAGAGAAATTGATTGGCACAATTCTCTCAGTATTCCAAGCAATCGTAAAGAAACTACCTAATTTTTCTCTTTATTGCTTTAAACCTTTATTTGTTTGTCACCTTCTCACCACCTCTCTACCTTTTGCAACCTGACTCCTATTCCTCCTATGTCACCAAACCTGCTCTCATGAAAGTTTTCTTTATTCAGATCCTTCTAGAACTCATCACTGCCTTTGACATTTATGACCAGGCCCTCATACTTGGATGGCTCTCAAAACTCATATTCTATGACAATACTCATTCACAGTCAAAGGAGAGGAAAAGGCACCCAATGAAAATAAAGACTGGAGGATTAATATATATTACATATATATTACATATATGTATTATATACACATATATATGAAAAATTTTTATTTTAAAAACCAAGAGCCTTAGAAGTCATTTAGGCCAACGCCTTCATTTTATAGATGAAATAATGAGGTACAGAAAATATATCAGTTAGGATGCCTTTGGTTGCAAGTTACAGAAAACAGAGGCTCGATTTCGCTTAAACAATAGGGACTATGCTCTCTATGGGGTCCAGGCACATTATGCCATCACAGCTCTTCTCTGTGGCACCTGTGGCCGTCCCACCTTCCACATGTCAGCTTCAACTTCAGGTTGTAAGCAGAATCCCGCAGCACTTTCAGGACTTAATCAGAGTCCTGGGAGTTGGGGGAGGAGGGGGAGGAAGAGGGAAAAGCACGTCTCTTTCTTGAGTCTCTTTTCAGAAGCAAAGAAACCTGATCAAGAAGCCCTAAGAAGACCTTCTCTCTTGTCACCTCCCCATTTCTAAAGCCATCACTGACAAGAGAAATGGGATTCTAAGGCTTGTTTCATTCAAGCTTCGGACTAAGCTTGGGGTAGAATGAGTGCTGGAGAGTCCAAGTTAAATAAATTGGTCATAATCAAAATATAACTTGTAGATCTAAGAGATTCTTTACATTTGTCCTACTACACTTGTCAGAATTTGCTTGGTCCCTGCTCATTAGTGCTGGATTCAACTCTTCTCTCTCCTTGCAAACTTCTCTGGGGTGCTCACTTGGTTTTTTTTGTAATTATCTTAGGCCTCTCAGGAGGCAGCATAGAATAACGGTAAGCACTGACTTTAGAGCTAAACTACTGGGGTTCAAGTACAGGCCCCACCACTTCTAACTGTGTGTGCCACTTTAGGCATGTCATTCAATCTCCTTCCTCGTCTATAAAAGGGGATGATAATAGAACCCACTCCACAGAGAGGTTGTGAGAATTAAAAAAGTCACTAAATACAAAGTGATCAGAATGCCTATTACACAGTAAGTCCTATACAAGTATGTGCTATTATTATTAAAAGGCATCCACTGCTTCTGCCTGCCCAGCAGCCCTTCCTCCTTCTTTTGATAAATGTTTCCATTTTCCTTTGAAGAACTACCCCTCCACCAGGCCATACAATCATGGCGCAATTCTCAACCAGTATGAACTGCTCTCAATCCCCACTGGGCAGAGGGTGGATGGAGCACAAGGCCCAAGTGGGGCCAATCTCACATTTTCCCTTAGAATCTGAAGCTTAAACAGAGTGACCATGACCAAAAACAGTTAAAATTCAGTCTCTCTGATGTCAAGGCCTTGAAGAGGCTTTTCCTAAATTCTAGACCCCTGGAACTGTGTTGTCCTTTCCAAAATCTGATTAAGAGTTCTTCCTTTAAAAAAAAAAAAAAAAGAGTTCTTCTTTTGATTGTGTTAGCTATCCAGTCCCTTTAATAAACTCCTATACAAAATTGATTTGTGTTGCCAATGTAACTGCTATGTTGAATGAATAGTACTCTCGAAATTAAATCATCAAGTAACTTCATTTTTGTCTGTCTCTTTAAATCTATTCATGAGCCTAGCTCCTCTCTGGCCCCTGCATAGATAGCACAGAAGTTAAGACCATAGCTCTGAAGTCAAACTCTGGGCTCAAATTCTAGCTCTACCTCCTGCTACCTATGTTACTTAAGGTCTCTTTGCCTCAGTTTCCTTACTGGTAAAATGGGGGAATAACAACACCTACCTCATTAGGTTATCATAAAACTTAAACGACTTCCCAAATGTAAAATGCCCGGAAACGTGCTTGGCACCTGGTAAGTCCTGAAAAACATTACTGCTGATGGCACTGGGGGTCCAGTGAGGTGGTCTTTCTTCCTCATACCCCATCCTATCAGGCCCTGATCATTCTTGTTTCCATACCTATGCTCATGTTAGCCCTTTTCTTTTTCTAAATTCTTCAAGACGTAATTAAGTCAAGCATCACCACTTCCACAAGGCCCACATTGATCTACAAAGGCCATGTGGACCTGATACTTTGTAGAATTTATAATCTGTAACAGACACCTGAGTCTTGAGTCCATGTAATTTCTATTGTGTTTTACTTGAACCCGTGTGTAAAAAGGACTACCCCAATAAGAAAAGTAGTCACTGAAGGCAAAAATGATACTTTTTATTATTTTATGTCCTTCATACTACTTAGTCCAGAGAAGGCTCATAGTAAGTCCTTGATAAGTAACTTTTGAATGGCCCTCTGAACAGCTACAAATATCCCCAATTACAATTACTTCCGGGTTTGTATAGCTGCAAGCTCAAGGCCTATGTTTTGGTATATGTGCTACCAAAGTGAGCACATGACCTATGTTTTTACTGTGTGTATAAGTATACAAAAAAGAAAGGGTGCAGAACTTTCCATTTTCATCCCACACTGGCCCATACACCCCGGGCATGCAATAAATGTTATGAACTACCTAAAAAAAAAAAAAAAAAGCTGAAAAATTCAAGAGATGAAAACTAATTCCAGATATTTTAGGAAATTCCAAATATATCTGTTACTATTAAGATTTGAAACTATAATGGAAAAGATCCTGTTTTGTTTAAAAATTAAAAACAGAGAGATAAGGGAAACAGATACTCAGATACTTTTTCACCTTTTTTTTTTCCTCATAAGAATTACTGATGAAGGACAAAGTAGAGGAGATAACTACTGCTAGCTTTTTATTGTCATGGTTCTGGAGAAATGTTTTTCTATTTTTGAAACTCTGCATAACATGAAGTATACCATCTTGTTTTTCTGACTTCTCTAAGCATGTGAATAGTATATACAGAAATAAAAACTTCTCTCATTGATGTCCCAGAGCATATTGTTTACATTCAGAAAGATGGCACTGGTTCATAGCTTTGTGGGTGATTATTTAGTCATGTGAAAAAGCCCACTGGGAAAAAGAAATTGAGTAAGCCTGGATTCCATGTGAAACCATCTGTGGAATGGAGATGTATAAATTGACCCACTTAATCGATCCTCAGAACAAACTTACATTACATCCAAATGACATCTCTATAAATGACACTTCCATACTTTTTGGCTTATTTTTGTTTAATGGGTATCATTATTTCAAAGTAAGGGGGGAAAATGCTTTTTTCTAAATGTTATCCACTGTGAATTTTTCAACCAGGCCAACTCTTCATTGCTTCCTTCCTACAGAAATAGTTGGCCTCAGAGAAAAAGAAAAGAGGGAGAAGGATGAGAGAAGAAAAAGAACCTGTATATCTTACTTGGATTGTGCAAGACAGCCTGGTGCAACCATACTTTGATTTTTCTCCTCATTCTGGAGTGCCGTAAGCTCCACCATGTTAACCATCACGTCGTTGGTGTGGCCTGGAAGCTGGGGAAGCACTGAAATGATCTTCTCTACCAAGTTGTCTCCGTGATGTCCAACTGCTCCTGTTTAAGCAGAAAAGATAATATAAACTCAAAAAATGGGAAGAAAAAAAATCTGGATTAATGTTTTATAATGGCCCTTCTATCAAGAGTAATATATATATTTTGTTTCTGTCATATAAATCAATAACACAAGCCTAGCATTTTGCCCTCTGTAATAACACTAATCAAGCTCACAATTACCTAGTCAACCTATGCCTTGTGCATTGACTTAATGCTCTATGAGGGCAGATGCTGTGTCTGCTCTAGTTACTACTATATTCCTAGCACCTAGCACAGTGCCTATATATGGTAGGAATCAATAAAAATTTAATATATAAATAAATAATCAGCATATAGTCAGCCAGGAAAATAGTGTCATTGGAAGACACTACTGTAAGATTTTACGGCCAAACTTTATTTTACTGATGAAGTCATTAAGACCCAGAAGGGCTTAGAGACCTGACCCAAGATTAGCAAATCTCCCCTCTGCTAGAACCTTATCTTCAAAATGGCAACTGTTTATCTAGTTCACCCTGAACCCAGCATGTCTAGAAGGCAACTTGGCAGCTAGCAGACCCTCACTAAATATTTGTTAGATTATAGGAAAACTAAATGAACGAATGATAACAGCTTGTAATGATAGAAACATTTACAGAGTACTTTCTGTGTACCAGGCACTGTTTTAGGTACTTCACATGTATTAACTCTTTTAATAACAAATGACTTAGAACCTCAAACTGAAATTCAAGATTAATGACACAGTGTAAGATGTTTTCCATGAAACCAAGTTATCTTTCCAAAAGCCGTCATTGCTTGGAAGACCTCCTTCCAACAATGGGTGGGACTTGGCACATCTTGTTTTGATCCCACCACTCTAAATCAATCAACCTTTTGTTTCCTGATGTCTCTCTGTCTCTAGCTGTTGTTTTTGCCATGTCACATAATTGGACAGAACTAGGTACAAAACACCAAATCAGGACTCCAAGGAATTCTTGTCACCGCCACCACCATCTTCATCACAATAGCTAACATTTATTGAAAGCTTGTGATGAAGCAGGTATTATGTTTCATATTGCACATTTATTACCCACTTAATTCTTACAACAACCCTAATAGATGGGTATTATTATGCTCACTTGGAGTAGAAGATTCAGTTTAAGTAACTTGCTCAGGATTGCATAACTTTGTAAATTACAGAGCAAGAATTCAAACTCAAAAGGCAGAAACTGCCAAAACCACACTATTAACAACAACAACATAAATCAGGCCCATTAGAGTGACTTAAGACAGAGCCAACAGGGCCACCTGGGTGGCTCAGTCAGTTAAGTGTCTGCTATCAGCTCAGGTCATGATCTCAGGGTCCTGAGATGGAGTCCCACATCAGGCTCCCTGCTCAGTGGGGAGTCTGCTTCTCTCTCTGCCCCCTCCCCCGCGCGTGCTCATTCTCTCTCTCTCACAAAAATAAAATATTTAAAAAT